TTCTTGCATTCATTCACCCCTTCGAGAACTTCCCGAACCCTCAATAATGAGAAATTCAAAGAAAGGCTTATTCTATTCTTCCCCCACCCGCGGCAAAGAGGGGCACCTTGGTGGTTCCTAACAAAAAGCCCATTGAAGTTACCCCTTCCTCCCCTCACTGGGTAACTGGGCTGGAAAGTCTGAGTGGTGAGAGCTTTGCAAATACTAAAATCAAGTCAACCCTGAAAATAATTTAGGATTTCGCAATCTTTTCTAGGACAGGCCCAAATTTCTCGCTCAGAACTCTGCAAAGTCCAGCCTCCCTCGCTGTAATAAAATCTAACGACGGCTTAGAAATGTAATGAAATATGGGTCATCTCAGCTTTGAAATATTTCTGAAGAAGCAACATCGCATCTGAAGTATCTGAGTCACGGTCCCCACCGGCAATGCTCCCAGGACAAAGGGAAAGCCACGCAGAGGTGCTGGAACAAAGATGGACTTCTCCCTGGCGGCATAATAACGGTGTTAGAGCATGATTAGTCTTATTAATGGGAAGGAAAAGGAAGGATACACGGGTAATTAGGACTCAAGTGCTCTTCTCTGTGAGAGCAAATAAAACTCTTCCTGCAGTTAGAGTTGTGTATATAATGAGCACGAAAAATGAATACTGGTATGAGAGACCAGAGAGAAAACACAAACCCAGGTAAAGCAGCCTCGTCATTTGCTATTACAAGATCTCATCTCGGCCTTTCCAACAGACTGGATCAAGCTAGATGCGAGCATGCACCCAATATAATGTGCGTGTGGGTGTAGCTACATTAAGGTACCAGAAAAATGCAAAATTCCGAAGAGGACAGCTAGTGGTACATCCCTAAAAACCTCTCTCATTCGGGTCATCATGAGGATTATGGAAAGTGACGCATACAAAGCAGTTAGCCCAACACTTGGCACGTATTAACTACTCCCTAAACAGTCCCTACAGTCAGCCAAGAGGCAGTTAGAGTAAGCAGTATTTTCCAAAGTTATTTGGTCATTTTTGCCCCAAGGCATTTAGGATTGCAGAGAACTCGAGAAATGTCCTACAGTCCACTCGTACTAGCCAAAGTCTACCAAAGTCACTGTTTGGTGCCTATTATTTGAAGTGATAAAACTATGTCTAGTCAATATTTAAGAGACATTTGGGAATAATTGGGAGACAACGAGAAAAAGCTGTTGTTGTTGTTGTTGTTTTAATGGACCAAGAAGAGTAACTATCACACAAAATATATGCGAACAAAATCTCTATGACTTTCTTATTTATGCCCCAAGAATGCCATCAGCTTCAACGAAGCACAATTAATAAGGTGCTGCAGCTGCTCTGCAAATATCAAACACGGGTTGACTTCCTTTTAAACTTCGTAGTCTAAAGTTCTTCAAGAGACAATGGGGCTTGTATAAAGATTTTCTTTTTTCTGCCCTATTATTTACCTCTTTTGGTGAAGTATTTTGTACTTAACATTTGCTTTATGACTAACGTTGAGTATATTAGAGTGTATTACAATTAGGGGTTCTCCGTGGCTTAAAAAAAAATTCCTAGTAAATATCCAAAAACAAAGAGTCTTTTCATAGAATATGATTTTGACAGTTAACAAGGAGTTGAGTCATGAAGGGAAGACAGGACTAAGGCAACTGCAATTACGATCAGAGCGCTCTCGGTTGTAGTACTCACTGGATATTCTGTTTAAAAGAGAAAGAAAAAGCTACTGCAACTAAAGAATGATTTATTCTCTCCCCTGCTTGTAAACCTCCTAGTCATGGTGGTATATTAAACGGCACAGCCTTGGTGGCAATTGTTCCCATTTCAGCCAGACTAACTTGTTTCGTTATGTACCTTTACTGTGGCATTAAGAAGATATTTGCTGGATTCACTGGGCAACTTAAGAGCTAAAAGCAAGAAAAATCACCCAATAGCATGGTTGTTAATATTGTTCCACCAATGTCTTTTTCCTCTTCTCTTTCCCCGATTCCTTCTCCACTTCTCTATTCATACTACATTTCCACCTCAGTTTTTCTCACACACTCTTTTTTCTTGTGACCACCCATTATATCAAACGAAACACAAAGGAACTTCTTAATACCACACAGAACTAAAGGCATCGTATTTGGAGGAACTTCATTCCACAATATTCTTTAGATTGTGTGATAGTGATCATAGTGTTCAGCCATTAAAAAGAGGAGGAAAAGTTCTAGAAACTTACCTGTTACGTCTCCAGACCTTGTCAAATATGCCTGAGAAGGTCATTCCCCTAGCTGAGAACTACTGTTAACCCGTCAAATCTTTCCAGCCCATTTCTTCTTATTAAGTCCTTCAACATAGGGCCCAATCTCTCTTCTGGTTAAAACACCTCTGATTCCTTTAAACTTGCCATGCAGGATCTTTATTTCACATCCTCTTGGTACTAATCAAAATCACTGCAGTAGCCCGGCAGGTGTGGCTCAGTGAACTGAGCGTCATCCCAGGGACTGAGAGGTCTCATTTGATTCCCGGTCAGGGCACATGCCCGGGTTGCAGGCTCGATCCCCAGAAGGGGGCATGCAGAAGGCAGCTGATCAATGTTTCTCTCTCCCATCAACGCTTCTTTCTATCTCCCTCTCCCTTCCTCTCTCTCTAAAAAAAAAAATCAATAAAAATATATTTTAATAAATAAATAAATAAAATCACTGCAATATTATTGGAATGTTTTTAACAACATTGCTTAGAGCAGAACCTGTAGTATAGACACCCACATTGATTTACGACACACTGTTCAACAGAAATTTAATCTAATATTATTGGATAACATAAGAGAAAACCTAGATGACCTTGGGTATGGCAATAACTTTTTAGAAGCACAATCCATAAAAAAATAATTAATAAGGTAGACTTCATTAAAATTAAAATCTTTGTTCTGTGAAAGACAATATTAAGAGAATGAAAAGACAAGCCACAGACTGAGAGAAAATAGATGCAAAAGGCACATTTGATAAAAGACTGTCATCCAAAACACATAACTCGGAAATACAAAATAAAAAAAAAACAACCAACCCAATTAAAACATGAGCCAAAGACCTTAACAGACACCTCACCAAAAAACAGATACAGATGACAAATAAGCATATAAAAAGACGTTCCACATGTCATCAGGGAAATGCAAATTAACACAAAAACATGGCTCGGCTTGTTGAGCGCTGTCCAATGCACCAAAAAGGTTGCTGGTTTGATTCCTGGTCAGGGCACATGCCCAGGTTTAAGGTTCGGTCCCCTGTCAGGATGCATATAGGAGGCAACCAATCAATGTTTTTCTCTCACATCATTGTTTCCCTCTCTCCTTCTCTCTTCCTCTCTTTAAAATCAATAAATACATTTGAACATTTTTTTAAATGTTTAAACAACAATAAGACAACACTACACACCTATTAGAATGGCCAAAATCCAGAAGACTGACAACGCCAAAGAGAGGCACGGATGTACAGCAGCAGGAACTCCCTCGCTGCTGGTGGGAACGCAAAATGGTACAGACACTTTGGGAGACAGTTTGCAACTTCTGACAAAACGAAACATACTCTTCCAGACAATGCAGCAATCACAATCCTTGGTGTTTACCCAAAGAAGCTGAACACTACGTCCACACAAAAAATGTGCACACGACTGTTTACGGCAACTTTATTCAAAACTGCCAAACCCTGGAAGCGACTGAGATGTTCTTTCAATAGGTCAATGAGTAAACTGTAGTACACCCAGACAATGGAGTATTATTCAGTGCTAAAAAACAATGAAGCCATGAAAATATATGGAGGAACGTTAAATGCATATCAGTAAGTTAGAGAAGCCAATCTGAAAAGACTTTGCACTGCATGATTCCAACAATGTGACATTCTGGGAAAAGCAGAACTATGGAGGCAGTAAAAAGATCAGTGGTTGCTAGTGATGAAGGGTGGCAGGGAAAAGGGATGCACAGGTGGAGCACAGAACATTTTTAGAGCAGTAAAATACTCTGTATGATACTATAATGGATACATGTCATTAGACATCTGTCCAAACCCAGAGAATGGACAGCACCAAGAGTGAACCCTAATGTAGACTATGGACTTTGGGTGATGATGAGTCAGTGTGGGCTCATCAATTATAACAAATGTACCACTTGGGTGGGGGACATTAATAATGGGTGAAACAATGCATGTGGGGGTGAAGGGGTACGAGAATCTCTGCACCTTCCTTTCAATACTGCTGTGAACCTAAAAAATAGCCTAAAAATTAGTCATAATAGAGGGAAGAGGGGGAGGAGTGTTAAGTCTGATAGGATTAAAAACAAACTTGTTTAGAGTAAGTCGAATCATACACAGAACAAGCGTGCACCACTTAAGGATGGGGATTCGTTCTGAGAAATGCGTCCTTGAGTGAGTTTGTCATTGTGCAAACATGGTATCGAGTGCACTCCCACATGCCTGGGCGGTACAGCCTCCTACACACCTGGGCTACATCATATACTGCTCCTGGCTACACGGCTGTGCAGCATGTTACTGTATAAAACACCACGAGATTAAATCAAGCATAAGCAAAAATGATGCGATCAAAAGACGTGGTAAACACGAGATGCATGAGGCTGCTCAGTGGAACGTGGCATCCTGTTTGACAGCAAACTTTATTAATAAGTAGAAAGAGTACATTTCACAATAAAAAGTATGGTAAATTTATAAACCAGTAACATAATGTCATGTATTATCACCATCAAGTATCATGTTACTATACATAATTGTAAGTGCTAACTGTTAATATGACCAGCAGTGCATAGTTTGTTTACATCAGGATCACCACAAACACCTGAGTAATGTGTTGCACTATGACCTCATGGTGGCTATGATGTCACCAGGTAATCAGCATTTTTCATCTTCATAATCTTACGTAACCACCATCGTATATATTACCTGTCCTTGACCGAAACGTCGTTAGGTGGCACATGACTGTACACTTTCCTACCCCAAAGAGCTGTGAGCCTCTTACCTTCCATACTAGGGGAAGGGAAAGCAATTATCATGAGCACAGGAAGAATCATCACTCCATCTACCATTGTACAACTGTGGAGAAAAAAAAAAGAGATATAAGTAAGACAAAAAATGTAACTGCAGGATGACAAGTTAAATTAAGCACACCATTCTCAAACTGCCATTCAAGGCCTTTCTTGCAAATCCCCCTCACATATGTTGCCTTATTTCTTAGGATATTTAAACATATACCCTTTACAAGGATCTAAACAAATCATCTTAAGAAGTTAATCAGATGTACCTCCTGCTGGTAGCCACTCTAAGGTGACTTTCCCTGAGCCTGCCCTCTTACAAAGAAAGAACTCAGCAGGGACAGGAAAAATTCGCAGCTATCTCAGGCAAGGCATTCCCAAAGGATTTTAGGTTTGAATGTTATCTTATCCTATCGAATGCAGAATTGGCACTAAGTTAAAAACTCTGAGAGGCATAAATAGACTGTTCTTACAATAGGATACAGATGAAGTGATGGGATCATTCAAGCCAAATGACTGTGCTTGAGACTTACTTCACCTAGTTCTTCATCCAGCCCCAAGGGAAACAAACAAACCTACAACATAGCCCTCAGCTGTGGCACAACAACGCATCCCTATATTAACCTCAAATTTAACAGAGGACAGACACGGCCAAGGCAGGAAGAAATCGTGTAAACGTGTAATATATGAAACTATAACAGAGAAAAGAAGATACCTGACACAAATTTCAAGCTGACATGGCCCTGAAACTACATTGGCAAAAGCTCGATTTTATCAGTTAGAACAGTACAGTGGCAAACTTTTCCATCTGAACAATCTTGAACAGTTCCAGATGTATGATGATAGTTTGGTATACTAATTCTTTATTACAAGAAATAATTTTTGAAACTCAAACCTTTGTCTAGTTGTGATTTTCTAGATGGTAAAATAAAGAAGAAAACTGGTCGCCCTGGCCAGTGTGGCTCAGTAGTTGGAGTGCTGGTCTGTGCACCAAGGAGGCTTGGGTTCAATTCCTGGTCAAGGGCATGTACCTAGGTTGCGGGTTTGATCCTCAGCTGGGTCAGGGCATGTGTGGGAGGAAACCAATTGATATTGATGTGCCTCTCTCACATCACGCTCTCTCTCTCCTCCCTCCCTCCCTTCCACTCTCTCTAAAAATCAATGAAAAAATATCCTTGTGTGAGGATTAACAAAAAGAAAACGAAAAGAAAACTGGTCAAGTTCTTTAATGAACAGGTTAGTGTGCAACCTCTTACAGCTTCAAAGCAAAGAGCAAAAACCTTTTGCCACATAAGCAGTTCAGAGGGGACACCTGTCTCGTCTTCTTACGATCAAATTTTGAGGTTGGTAGCCTGACTGTTCGCTTCCCATATCCCCATTCTATCTAACCAGCCCTCATTTCAATGTGTTTACAATTGTATTTCGGCCTATCCTTTCTCTAACAGCAAGAGGAGGAAGAGGGAATGGAGATTTTTTTTATTACCTTCCTTTTATATTTTTAAAAGCACTTGGAATTTGAGTGAGCTCTTTTCCTGTTGTTATTATTCTTTCCATGCTCACATAGATCTTGTCTACAGTGAGCCTTTATTTGTGACAAACGGCCTCACCTTGGCCCCCGGGGCCCTCACGACCAGATAAGGATTCCACCTTTGAACATGAACAGAGTGTGGTTCCATCTGCCATCAATGCCCTGGGCCTCCTCTCCTACCCAGCTGCCTCCTCCTGTCGTTCATAATCTAGCTCAGAAGGCAGCGCAGGCCGGTCTGGCTCTGTTGGTGGGCACGTCCTGTACACGAGAGGTTGCCGGTTCAGTTCCCAGTTGGGGCACATGCCCGGGTTTGCAGGCTCAATCCCCAGTGGGGGGCACACAGGAGGCAGCCGATTGATGTCTCTCTCTCTCTCCCTTTCCCTTCCTCTCTCTCTAAAAAGATCAACAAAAACATATTTAAGCTCTGGCCAGTTTGGCTCAGCGGTTGAGCATCAGCCTGTGGACCAGAGAGTCCGGATTTGGTTCCTGCTAAGGGCACGTACCACAAAAAAATAACAATAATAATAAAAAAAATATTAAAAAAAAAAAAAAGGCAAATGCTTGGTGAAACACCTCTCTATCAACAGTGAATTCTGCTCCCCAGCACTGGTCTAACACACCACTTGAATCAATTATTTGTCTATGTCAGTCTCTAGCACTAAACCACTCACCTCCAATGGTCATGCAAGACAACTCATCGACTTATGGAATGAATATACACAAAATTTTACCTTACAGCCCTGGCTAGGTAGCTCAATTGGTTAGAACATACGCCAAGGTTGAGGTTTCAGTTCTTGGTCAGGGCACATACAAGAATCAACAAATGAGTGTCCTGGCCAGTTTTGCTCAGTGGTTAGAGTGTCAGCCCTCACACCAGAGTGTTGTGGGTTCAATTCCCAGTCAAGAGCATGTACCTGGGTTGCAGGTTCAATCCCCAACCCCAGTCAGGGTCATGTGGGTAACAACCAATCAATGTGTCTCTCCCACATCAATGTTTCTTTCTCTGTCTCCCTCCCTCCTTCCCACTCAATCAAAATAATCAATGGAAAAATATCCAAATATCCTCAGGTGAAGATTAACAACAACCAAAAAAGAATCAACCAGCGAGTGCATGAACTGGGTGGAACAACAAATTGACATTTCTCTATCTCTGAAATCAATAAATAGTTTTTAAAAGTATCTTATAAAAAATGTTTTCATCTAATAGAGCCATAAATAACTTGAGGCTTTATTTGTTCTCTATGACAGTCCCAGCACAAGAGGGATCTTTCAGAAAGAGTGGGAGATACAGCGTGAAAGCGTACAGAGTACACCCATGTACAGTCCTATACTTTCAAGGCTCCATTTAAGTAGAATTACAGGTTGTATTGGAGAGTTATAATGAAATGAGCCTTCCCCCAGTTGCACATGTTCTAAAACCATGAAAGAAACTACAGATTAAATGTTATTAATCTGTAGAGAAGAGTAAGAAAATGTGGAGCTGATTTCTCTCTTCCTGTGGTTCTTCCTTAATCACTTGACTAGAAAAAAGCAATTAACATTCAGTTGAATCTGACATAAAGAAGGTTCCCTAACTTCAAAATTAAAAAATACTTGAAAACTGATTTGCATCGGTATCATAAACAATAAACATCCTGAGTGACTTGAGATTTCTGTTAATGATAAGATGTCATCACTATTAGCAGTCCCTTAAATATTTCGTCTTTAATCTTTTTAGAATTTCTATTTTATGCAGGTTTTATAATATATAGTTTTTATTCTACGTAAAACGTATAACCAACATCCATTTTGAGGGTGCATTCTCAGAAAACTTTTTAACCGATGGGATATGTTATCAAAAGCTTTTGGAAACTACTGGACTATCTCAGTCTTATCTTTAAATTCCAGTCCTTCCTTCCTTCCTTCCTTCCTTCCTTCCACAGCTATTGAGAGACTACTGTGTACTAGACATTAGAAACTTAAGAGTAATAAGGATATAAAACATAGTCCTTAATATTGCTGAGCTTGCTGTCTATGTTGGTAATCAAATAATCATCCAAAAGACTGCATAATTCAAAACTGAATTAAATTTCATTAAAAAAAAAAAAAAAAGGTTGAACAAGACTGCTAACAAAACAACTTGAGACTTCCTGAAGGGTGGAGGAGCTTCCCTGGGGAGGTGGGATCTAAATAAGAACCAGAAAGATGACCAGGAGGTACTACGAAAGGGTAGCATTTAGGGAAAAAGGCACAGCTTCTCAGTGTCCACGGAGGCCCTGTGGCCAGGGCAAGCATGGTGTGTCCTCAGGGCTTAAGACATATTTGGAAGTTAAAAACAAACAGACAAACAAAAACACCAGGCTAGGACACACAGAGCCTAGAGAGAAGAGTTATAAAGAAAGAGGAGAGCCCTGGCCAGTTCGGCTCAGTGGTTAGAGCGTCAGCCCGCGGACCAGAGACCCGGGTTCGGTTCCCGCTCAGGGCACGTATCTCGGTTGCAGTTTGTCCCCGGCCCTGGTTGGGTCGTGTGGGTGGCAGCCAGTCAATGTGTCTCTCTCACATGGATGTTTCTCTCTCTCTGTTCCTCCCTCTCTCCCTCCCACTCTACCTGAAGATAATGGGTGAGGATAAAAAAAGAAAGAGGAGAAAACCCAAGAAGGCTGGAGAAGTCGGCCAGGGTCGCACCTCAGTAAGACAAGGTACCCTAGCAAGCCTTGCACTCACCTCTCATGGCCTCAAGGCCCCTCACCCTGAGTTCTCACCACTGGCCCCTCCCCACCCCAATTTCCCAGGCACTGCAAGTGGCCAGCTTCCTGCCCATCTCAGAGCCTTTGTATACGAGGCGTTCCCGGTGACTGGACCCTCTTTCAAACCCAGCCTGGCACATTCCTACTCTTCCTTCACGTCTCAACTTCAATGCCGCTTCCTTCTAGAAGCTTGCACCCTCCTATGCCCTCATCACACTCTCACATGCCCTTTGTTGCACTTATCATAATTAATAATTACTTATTCATGCCGGTGTGCTTTTGAGTATCTGCTTGTCTCCCTAGACCGTAAACTTGATGGTAGCAAAATCTATAGTCTGTTTTGTTCACTGCTACCAGAGTCGTGTAGGTGCACATTTAACACTTCTCTAATTTGAATTTTCCCTGAATTCATCAGCTCAATTTAGGTTTAAATTCTAAAGACATAGCAATCTCTTCCAGCCCTCTCCTACACACAGGCACACACACCCAAAAAGAAATGTCAGGACTAACAAAGACATTCTCCATCTCTGTAACATTAATCTGTGAAGTTTCATTCAGGTAATAGTAAAAGTTAACAGTTAACGAGCTTCAAGTTTCAAAATCAAGAATCCTTTCATTATGAAAAAGAGATCTAAAAGACAATCACCGTTGACATTTTTTCCTGTCACAAAGTCAAGAAAAGCCCATGCCCCAAAAATATTCCTTAACAGATCATAATTGTGCAAGCAAAATTAAAATATTAATTTAGGCTTACAAAGAGAAAACAGACCAAAAAAAAAAAAGGGTTTTAAATTCACAGTCCCCTGC